AGGCGCCTAGGGCTAAGCGAAGACCGTTGTGGTGGATTGCATCAAGGTGAGCAAGAAGAGAGGTTGAGGCAAAGGAGTAGATATGGCATCCATAATCTAGAGTGGAGAGAATCAAGGTAACATGAAGATGGAGGAGAGTTTTGCGATCTGAGCCCCAGGAGATGTGTGAAAGAGTTTGTAAGATTCAGAGGTGGCGTTGAGCTTTTTCTTTGATTTACAAGATATGGTCTCGCCAGGACAATTTGGAATCAAATATAACGTCTAGGAATTTGCCAGAAGAACGGTATTGGAGTGGAGCGTTATATAAGAAGAGTGGGGGTTTGGGGACCGTACGTGAGCGAGAGAAAAGGATGGGGAAAGATTTGGATGTAGAGAAGCGAAAGCCATAGTTGGTGGCCCAAGAGGTTACTGATGTTATTGCAGACTGAAGGAATTGACAGAGATCTGGTATTGATGTGCCAGATGCATAGATGGTTAAGTCATCAACATATAGTGATGCCCGGGCTCCTGGTGGTAGGACTGAGACGATGTCATTTACAGCAAGAAGGAATAAAGTGGTACTAAGCACACTTCCTTGTGGGACGCCTTCGAATTGAGGAAAGGATGATGACGTGGAAGAGGCAATTTTCATGGAAAGTACGTTTAGAAAGGAAGGATTTAATGAAAACGCCCGTTTCCACGTAAACCTAAGGAGGACAATTGTTGGAGGATATGATATCGCCATGTGGTATCATATGCTTTCTCTAGATCAAAGAATATGGCTAATACGGATTCGTGGGGTGCAAATGCCGATGTAATATATGTCTCGAAATGGGCAAGTAGGTCTGCTGTACTTCGGGCACGTCGAAAACCAAACTGGGAAGGGGAAAGGAGATTATGAGATTCAAGGTACCACATTAAGCGGAAGTTAACCATTCGTTCTAGAAGTTTGCACAAGCAGCTAGTTAGAGCTATGGGGCGGTAATCTTGGGGTAGAGTACCCGATTTATTAGGTTTTAAGAAAGGTAGGATAAGAGCATCTCGCCAATGAGAAGGAAAATTTCCTGACGTCCATATGTGGTTGAAAATAGTTAAAAGGAAAGATAGAGAGGAAGATGGGAGGTGTCGGGGCATACGATAGTGAATACCATCAGGGCCTTCATGAGTGTTGCGGCACGACTGTAATGCAGCGTTGAGTTCAGAAGAAGAAAAAGGAGCATTATGGGACTCATCAGAGGATAGGGTGAAGGTAATAGGGATGCGTTCCTTGATGGCTTTAATGGAAGAAAAGTGTGGGGAAAGGTGAGAGCCACTACTGATCTGGCTGAAATAGTTGCCCAGTTCATTAGCTACTTCGACAGGCATCTCGAAGGTTGTGTTGAGAGGGAGTAGGAGGAGGGGGTGTTCGAGGGGGGTGGATGTCAGAAGGATGGGTATTGAGAAGATGGATATCCGTTGTGGGCGGGATTGAGGGGGTTAGGTTGTGTTGAGAGGGAGTAGGAGGAATATTAGTAGGAGGGGTATGAATATCGGCAACCACCTCAAGTGTGGAAGGAGCATGAGTTATGGGATCTTGTGTCTCAAGCATATAGCTTTGGATGTCATCCATTGTTTCAGCAGTGGAATTGGTTGGAGAGTTTGGTGGGAAGGTAATTGTTTCTGTAGTGGAGTTGGTTGGGGAGTTTTGTGGGATAAGGTTTTCTTATGAGGGGGGGAAGAGGAGACTGGTGTCTTAGGAATAAAGGTGAAGGTAGGTGGAGATGATTGTGCTGTAGGGGAAGAAGGGTTAGAACGTTTAGTTGTCTACTGCGGGTAGTGCGGGGAGGGAGAGGGGTGGTGTTGTGGCTGTAGTTGAGATCGGGGTGTCTGGGTTTAGAGTGGTAAAAGAATTGGTCTGAGGGGGGGTAGAATGTAGAAGTGGTTGGGGCTGTAGTTGAGACTGGAGCTGTGGTTGAGATTGGGGTGTCTGGGTTTAGAGTGGCAAAGGAATTGGTCTGAGGGAGGTAGAATGTAGAAGTGGAAATTGGGACATCTTGGGGTGGAGGGGGGGGCTGAGCGAACGATGTTACTAGAGTATGGAGTATGAGAGAAACCTTGTCGACGTGCTTCTTGTCTGGCTTCACGTAAAGTGAGACCATTTTTGTATCTGAGAGTTGCTACCTCAGATTCAAACTTGTAAGTGGGACAGCCTCTATAAAATACATTATGGGGGCCACCGCAGTTAGCACATGTTCGTGTTTGTGCTGAGCAGTTTGATCGGTTATGACCAGGTTGGGCACATATGGGGCATCGGTCTGTGGAACGGCAATGTTTGGCAGGATGTCCAAAGCGCCAACAGTTTTGACATTGACGGGGAGGGATTGTCCACCGATGTAGATACGTAAAGGAAGGTCATGTGTACGGAAGGTAATTTTGGCAATGTTGGTCGGATTCTTTCGTTGACCTTTAGGAGGAATAGTGTAGCAATGCACTGATTTTACATCTTGGTCTTTGAGGCATCTTAATAAGTCTTCTCCACAGTCTGACCAATCTTTGGTATCGACTGGGCAGTTTGCTGGGCAGAGAGAGACAGTTCCGGTACAAGTATTAAGGGTTGGGCGAGGTTCTGCAGGAATGGGGTTGCCAGAATGATCAGTTAAATTTGATAGTGCTATAGATTCAGTTTCTGATCTAACTGTTACAAGACAGGAGCGATCGCGTCAGGTATAGAAAGGGACTCTGCCTTCTTGTTTTTGGCGGCATTGTTGAAAGAGAAGTCTTGCCTGAGTAAGGAGCTGTAGGAGGGATCACGAAAAATCGGTCCCATTTAGCTGGGCTTAACAGAGTATTTAAGATATCTGTAGGGTTGGTGGTGGTGGATGGTCGGGGACGTGTGGAAGAGGGAGTATTACGAAATGATGGAAAATAAGGCTGTAAGGTAGTAATAAGGGAGAATCGGGTGCTTGATGAAGGTTGCGGGGGTAGAGTTGATGAATTTGAGGAAGTTGGGTGGGTAGGAATGTCTTCTGGAGATTGATTCTCTGCTAGGGTGGGTAATGCACTAGTAGGCATTGAGGAGTGGGTATTAGTTTCAGTGTTCGGAGTCGTGGTCAAAGGAGAGCCTGGGGTGGGGCTATTTGATGAAGGGGCAAGCCTCATTGCCTCTAATAAGGGGATTACGTCTTCATTACTGGTCATGGGGAACCTTGATTATATAAAACGGCATAAACGGTCCACCCTCATGCACTTGAAGGCAAGGGCTAGACAATTAAATCGGGAGTACCGTGCCCATAGTTCCCGCAGGCCGTTCAGAAGTGGCACAATGTCAGCCTTTCATCCTTTCAGCACGGCTCTTACACCTTAGGAAGTAGATACTAGAAGGGGTTGGAGAAGAGACTGAAACAAAAGCAGGAGGGGAAAAGACCATGCAAAATTAGTTGAGTCGAGGGCTGAGACCCTAGACAGGGGAGGTCCCTGCATTGGGTCCCAGTCTTCGTCTCCTAAGCCCCCCTACAACAACAACGGGCAAGGGATTGGGGGGGGTGGAACGGCAGTGTTTGGCTGGATGTCCTAAACGCCGACAGTTTTGACATTGACAGGGAAGAGGTTGATATGGTCGGACAGGGAAGGATTATCCGCAAACGTAAACATTAAAGGGAAGGTCATGTCTCCTGAAAGTAATTTTGGCAACGTTGTTGGGGTTCTTACGATGACATCTTGGAGGAATGGAGTAACACTGTACTGATATTACATCATAGTCCGTGAGGCAGGCGAGTAAAACTCCACAATCTTACTCATTTTCGTTAGAGATAGGACAGTTTGCTGGGGAGATAGAGACAATTCCGGTACATTATTGAGGGTTGGATGAGGTTCTGCAGGAATGGGGTTGCCAAAGAGATCAGTTAAAGAATCGATAATGCTATAGCTTGGGTTTAGGATATAACAGTAACGAGATGGAAACGATCGCGTTGGCTACGGAATGAGACTTTGCCAACTTATTATTGAAACACTGGTGAAAGAGAAGAGTGTTGTCAGTACAAGCTGTGGGGGGATCACGAAAAATCGGTCCCATTTGGGGGTAGAGGTGATAAAGTTGAGAATGTTGGGAGAGTTGGAATGTCTCCTGGAGAGTGAGTCTTGATGGGTGGATAATGTACTAGTAGGCATTGAGGAGTAGGTTGGAATAAGTTGCAGTGTTCAGAGTCGTGGACAAAGGAGAGCCTGGGGTCAGGGAACCGGGAGAGTGAGTTGGTGCGGCTATTTGATGAAGGGGCAAGCCTCATTGCCCGTAACAAGGGTTTAACATGCATTGCCCGGGGCGGGGGGGTGTTGGGGGGGGCCGGGAACCGGCCAATCAAGGCAACTAAAACCGTACCATGCTCATGGCTCCCTCAGGCCGTTCAGGACTGGCACAAAGTCAGCCTTTCATCCTTTCATCACGGGTCTCATACCTTAGGAAGTGGATAGTAGAAGGGGTTGAAGAAGGGACAGAAACGAAAAAAAGCAGAAGGGGAAAAAGACCATGCAAAATTAGACGTGTCGAGGGCTCAGGCCCAAAGTAGGGGAGATTCCCAGCATTGAGTCCCAGTCCTTGCCTCCTAGGCCCCTCACCACAAAAACAGGCAAGGGACGGGGGATATGGTTTTAGGGGTAATTTTGCAATTAATTATATATTATAGTCCATTACTTTCCTTTATGTGATAGATTGACTGTAATATTTCACAATTTACAGTACTGCTTGTCCAACTCTGGAAATTTATACATTAATATAACCTGTTTTGCTGTGATAGTAGTCCAGGGATTTCATTTTTTTTTTTTCTTCTTCTTCTTCTTCTAAAACTCGTGTACTTCTATGCATTTATTCACAGGCAAGCACATGAAGCAATGGATACATTGAATATATTTAGTTATTGTTATTTTTGTTTTTCCTTTTTTTACTCTGCAGGTTTTCATGCCCTTTCTTTATTACATATACCCAGAATATTGCATATCTAATAATAACATTTACCAATGGGAAAAAGGATGCATCTCAAACACAGTGAAAAACAGGATACTGTATTGAATATTATTTTTGTGGATTCCACAATTTCAGGACACAATTTTGAAGACAAAGTGTTATTGGGTAAATTTATTGATTTCATTTAGAACAATATTTAACACTCAACTGTACATAAATGAAAACTCATCTATTGGAGAAGTTTTCCTTTATTACACAGACTTTTTTTTCCTTTTTTAACATTTGTTCCATGTGGATATTATCAAACTACATTGACAATGTGTAAAAAATATAAATACAAATTCTGCTTCTCTAAATATCACAAAGTTAAATCAACTCCTTCACGCAAAGCCTGAAGAGCAACTTTCAGGAATGCCAAATGAACAGATTGCTGGATATAGCTAGCCAAAACTGGTATGCACACACAATTACAGGAATTTCCAGCTCATGAAACTCTGATTTCCATAATACATATTCTCCCTATAGGAAGCAAAAATTTTAAATAAAAAAAGGAAATGAAAGATAAAAATAAGTGAACATAACAAAAGTAGTATACCTTATAAAGATAAATCTAGATCATCAATGAAGATCACATCCCCCAGGGACCTTACACCACCAGCACTGCAACAGCTGCCTTGGGAGTTCCCTCTGCTCAGAATACACTCACTTATCAGGCTTTTAAGCCATTAGTGGAAGCTTCCTTCCTCTTCCTTTCACAACTGCCATTTATCAAAACATTGATGTGTGAAAAGAAGGAAAGCTTTGATCATATGACACCTAGTGTTGCAACCATCAAGCCATGGGAGAAGCACTCATTCAACTTTCTGTTTATCAGTTTTTATGAGAAATGAAAACTTGTAAGCTTTAAAATGAACATTTCTTCATACGTTTATAAGGGTGAATCAACTACAACACCAAAATATAATCCAGTTGAACATAGAAGCTGTTAGCATAATCTTATTTACCTCTACTGGCTGGAGGTAACAAAGCATATAAATCTATATGCCCAATCATCTTATTCTTATTAAAAACACCTCTTTTCTTTTAGTTGCCAAGGAATTTATTTAAGAGAGCTAGTCATAACTTTTTTTTATTTTTTGTACAAATTTCTGAATGATGAACAGTCCCCAGTCAACTAAGCCTCGTGTTTATGCCTTCATTTTCTCAAAACAAACTCTTTGCAATGATTGACACTACCTAAATACCTCACTTGCTTAAGGATGAAGAACAAATAACAAGGCAGCATAACGATCATGTTGTCTCTCAAGATACATTTTTCACTTGTTTGTGCCAGAACCTACATGTCATCTAAAGACTTGTTAGAAAAGTGTACTGAAAACACTCTACCAATAAGTTCAGAGTAATCATGTAAACATTATCTCTCTAAACTTCTAGAAAAAATAGATAATCCCCTTGCATTCTCATTCCAATATCTAAGTCATTTACCCTTCCTAAACGTGATAGGCAGGCAGATTTGGAGGACGTCTTTTCAGGACTTGGCAACGGTGAATACACTATATTTACATGTTAAAACATTGACTGAATAAAGGATCCACACACTGAGTATCCACAGTACAATATAAATCATGGCAGATTAGAAAAAGATGGGGATCATGCCATGCTGGCAAGAGGTTAGGTATCAAAATAACTCTGAGTCAGACCAGCAATTATGAGTCCTCTGCAGTATTCTATAAGGCTGAAAGTTTGATTTGAGGATGAATTCCTTGCACTTGCACTCTTCCCAACTCATCATCTTTGGGCTGCTCATTCATAAACTATATCCAATCATTCTCATAAAACAATTTTCAAAACTACTAAGATTCATTTATTCCACACAAAACAACATTTCAACCATCTATACAAATATATCACACAATAGGATAAGTTTGGTAGGTGCTGTGTTTCAATGGGATCCAATCCTTCAATAATGACTTCTATAATTATATTAATATGTATACACATACATGTTGCTTGCATTGGTCTACAAAGCTGCATATCTATCAGCCTTCTCTCTCCTTTGTAAGAGACTGTTTTCCATTTTAACTGCAAGATTATACCTTATGAAATACCCCAATAAGCCTGATAATGACTGATCTTGTCACCTCCTGCTCCTCCTACTCAAACTTTCATGGCTCACCCAGACTAACCAAAGTCACCACATATCTTAAATTGTTCAAAGTAGACAATCTTTATTGAGAACATATTTGGGATTAATTAGCCCCTTATGAGAAAAAATATAAAGCGGTAGTCTTACATGTAGTTTAAACCTCTTACCCCAACCTAATGTAGGCTTTTTTCATCACACTGTATCATTGGTAATTAATTGAGAGGATATCCTCTTTTTTTTTCACATTCACATTCCAATCTTAAGACCATGCTCAAGGGCTTTGGAGTCTGGTGGAACCGAGAGGCCTTAACCTATACAGCAATGCGCAATCACCTCAACTAAATCTAATCATCCGTCTTCGCTTTGGTGTCCTTTGTTTCCTCATCATCTGAGTACTCTGTGGGCTGTTCTCCTGGTTTCAAAAATTTACCAATATAATCGTACTTTTCTGAAAATTGATAACAAAAACAATTAGTACTTAAATTACTAATGGCAAGAAAACGAGCACAAGATATGTGGGTAAAAGGAAAATAATCAACAAGGATGAAGTAAACGAGAACAGAAAGACAAAAAACAGAAAGGTAAGAAGACAATGAAGACAACAACAACAAGAGAGAGACATAAATTGCAAAGACATACGAATTTGAAACCCTGAAAAAAATTACACTTTAAATTTGCCCCCAATTCTACATCTCACCTGTGAACTGCATCTCCCATTCCCTGACAGAATCCATCTGCATAGAGGAGAGGTCACTGAGGTCATCGTACTCTTCCTTTACATCCTTTACACTGAAGGTTGCCAGAGCTCTTGTCGCATCACGGCCAGCAAAGGCAGAATATGGCCCACCTGCAAATTTTTAATTCATATTTTAATAAATGCCTTCAGAATAAAAGAGCAATAGAGAAGAGCTTAAAAAAGAAAGTAATGTAATGCAGTATACTGTGATTGTAGTTCTTGCAATTTTTTTCATAATGATGAATATATAACTGATAACACGCAGAAACAAAATTGTTTTTAATCCTTCAAACTCTTCTCAACTACTAAACTTATACCAATAACCACAAAAATGTAATGTATGGTTACTCTAAGAAAATAACTTTTTTCGTCATGCAAGTAATTATTAACATTTCTTTTTCCTTAAAAAAAAAGTAACAGAGGATTCAATTACCATTCTTTTTTATACATAGTATGACCAGTGTACAATATCCAAAATATGTATCTTTACAGTGACAAAACTATTTCCCTCTGATGTATTTTGTATTGCGCATTAGTTGAATAAACTGAGACATGGAGAGATGGATATCAACATCTAATTACTTTATCTCATAAGCTATGAAAAACATTTTTTTATATCAATTACATGGCTAACAAGTACATCAATTAAACACTATGCCACTAATATATTTATACAGTTATCATCACACATTGATTTAAAAGCCACAAGAGGAACTTGTTATAAAACTGGCAGAGGTTTGGCTTGTCATTCATACTCAACATCAAATTAACATTCATGTAATTTTTCTTAATGTGAAAAAAAAGAACAGTAATTACATGATTAAGTATTCTTTTGCAACATTTTATTGAGGAAAGCTTTTAAAAAATTAGTTCCTAAACAACAAATACTAAATCAGTCTACCACTATCTTAAAAACTATGTGGGAGCTGACCTAGCCTCAAAATATTCAAAGACCTACTGACCACTGGGAAGCATGGAGGAATAGGCAGAAAGGGACTCAACGTGAGAAACTGAGGAAATCAATTGATGGAAAGGGAGAAGGAGAAAAAAAATGCGGGCAGAAGAATGCAGAGATGAAAAAATAAATAAATAAATAAAGTCTTTAAAAAGCTCTCCAACAAAATACACTTATACTGATTTACCCTGAAGACAAAAAGCAGTCAGATTATAAATGAAAAAAAAAGTGAATCTATTAATTTTTTTCTTTAATTACAACCTTTCTGGAAGCCTACTTGTACCACCACACAATCTATTCAACCACCGCTGCCACACGCCACTTGACCTGGGCCATAGAACTTGGTGCCTCGGGTGACGTCAAAGATCTTGCCATTAACTGCCACACACACACGCCCATGCTCCCCCATGCCATCATACTGCTTTAACTGCTCCAAGGTCATGTCCTGTCGTTTCATCTTGGGCACGGGAGGTTCCACTGGACCTGTTGCTGTGGAAGGAGAAAGGCAGGCTTTCAGGGCTACGAGGCATACAAGATATTGTCAAACTGATATGCAAGAAATTTAAAATATTTATATTTAACCCATTTACAACTGGTGTTCCATATTTGAGAAACAGAAAGTTAAACATTGCCGGGCGTCCCGTCAGTGTGACATTGGATCGGAGCTCGCACTCCGAATACGCTGCAAGCCACAGCCGGTGTGCAGGCAGATTCTGGGCTTTTGATTTTGTAGCCGACCGGAAAATATTATCTTTGGCTTTAAAATATACAGGTGTTAATGGGTTAAAAACTAAACAAGGAGGTAGAAGTGAATGATGAGGAGATAGCAGAGGGTATGGAAATTAAAGGTAAGGAATGGGTAGGAGAGGAGGGAAAGAGAGAATGGGGAGAGGGGAGAGGAAAAGAACACAAGAAATAGGATGACAAGGAAGACCAAGAGAAAGAAATGGAGAACACTGCGAGGGGAGTAAGAAGGCAAAGAGAGGAGGGAAAAGATGCGAGCCTGCATATATATACCTCCATACTGAACATGGATTAGTTAAATTTAATTAGCCAATATAAAATTAGGTACTGCATCATTCCATGAACATGACTTTTATACTTTGTGATACCATTTTAGTTTAACTTTTCACTATTATAAGACTACCAGTTAATAATAATGTAATTCATTTTCTTCTTTCCATCTTTTTTTTCTTTTTTGTTTTTTTGCCTTCTACTTTCTTTCTTTAAAGTTCAACTGGAACAGAAATATCTTACACTTTAAATGAGATATATAAAATTTTTATTTTCATTACATTAGATACATCAATGGGGTAAACAGACTTCCTGCTACAAACATATTTGTTATTTCTATGTTTATGTTTTTATTTTTATTTACCTTTGCAATGAAAATGGCACACTGATACTGACCAGTTACAAAGATTAGCATACTACATAATACATATAAACTTTCTGAGAGAAAGGGTAAGGAAGGGCCTCTGTATGTACATCTGTGTCATGTTAAAGAGATTATGAAAGTACTGAAGGTATCCTGACACTTTTACAAGACTGTAATTACATTTAGAATTCAGAGAATATTATGGGAAGATTTCATATTTAATATTCTTTATAGCAGTTTCATGGACAACAAAATATATAAAAAATCAGAATTTATTTCAATATTCTCCAATAAAAGTATTAGCTTTATCAGCATTATGTTCGAGTATAACCAACTGACTGTTAAGCCATTAACGCCGGTATATTTTAAAGCCAAAAATAAAAGATTCTGGGCAGCTACAAATTCGGTGGGCGGAGCTTCCCCAGAGTCTGTTGCGGCTGCGTCCCGCTGCTGTATCAGAGCATGAGCCCTGATACAGCATCAGACTGGAGGGATGCCCTGCAATGTTTATTTTTTCGGGTGTCATATGTGGACACCCGTCGTTATTGGGTTAATAACAAACTACAGGCAGATAACATGATGATGTAAGAGCAAAAATTTACAACAGTTACTTGACCTGTTCGCTGCACTTTTAAATGAATTTTTTTACATACAGACAGCATTTCTAATGCTATCAACCCATTGGATTTGAGTGATGTGACCATCAACAAATGAAAAACTTTGGCCGAGTGCTGGGAGATGTGATTGTCACATAATGAAAACTTTTGACTATAGGCCATGGTGACATGAATATAGCTTCATAGAAAATTTGGCTGACAGCCAAGGTAACAGAAATGACTGTGTGTGCAGAACAATCTTAGAAGATTAGACTCCAGTGGGGATTTAGGAAGGGCCTCTCACTATTTCTACTAGTAAACAAAGATAGAATGTGCCTGCTGTGAGCTGTGCTTGAAAAAGCATTAGCTCCAGGGAGGATACTATTTCTAAGTTCAGGATCCTATTCCTGTCAGTCTCAACAGGACTAGGTGTGTTACAGAAAATTAAATAATGTGAAAAAAAAGACAAATAATGCAAACTCACTCACTGTTATTGCAGTCTATTAAATTCTTGATAACAAATGACAATGCCAAATAAACAAAAAATACTTAGGCATAAAAAAATTACATTGCAAAGGGCAGGCAAGGAGTCAAACTATACAAATGGAAAAGCTGCCACACAAGAAATCCTATTGCCTGGTTCTTCGTTCCACACTGCAGTGCCAACTTACTGCTTTAACTATGGGGTTCATAGTCTTAATCTGGTAGCTATATTACTACTGTTCCACTGCTTTGTGTTTATCCTTAGATCTTACGAAAGACCACTGTCTCTTGCAATCAAGCTCTGTCACCAAGAACAGGTCAATCCACTAGCTAGGGCGCAGATCCTCTCTCTTCTCTTGACCTTCCTTGGCATTTCTCGCCACCGGCTAAGAATATGCCTCTTATTCTCCTGCCATTCCGTCTCCTCATTTTCGTCTTCCTTCATTTATTGTTATAATCATCCATTTTCCTTCAAAAACTCCAGGTGAGGATAGGAGAATCATCAATTGGCTCTGGTGTTTGGGCACTTATGGAGCCATCTATGAGCAAGTAAAACATTTCACTGAAGAACAACACAGACTCAGCTTTATCCTGCTCACTTGCGTCAGTCCTCGTTCTACTCGCCGCCTTCCACAGTTCTCTACTCTTACTCCCCTTTTGGTTCATTTCTCTAATACTATTCCATCTCCTATCATACCCCATCCAACTCAACCCTCTCGACTGCTACGCCTCCTCTATTCTCTCTCAACCATAATTATACTACTTCTGCCCCCGCTTCCTCCTCCTCTTCTCCTAAGACCATTGTAGGTACGCAGATATTGGGCTATCTGCACCACCTACCTCGTGGGCTCAGTTCGTGCGCGTCACCTTTTATAGTAGTTTAGGCGCCGCTCCCTCCTCTCCGTCCTCGTCTCTTCCTTCCTCGTATGGGTCGCGATGAGACGGGGCAGATCCTTCTTCGGCTCGTAGTCGCGTGTCGATGCAGCTGCACGTCCTCGCTACTTCGTACTTTCCTTCATCTGACTCCTCCTCTCATCTGAAATCTCCTGCTCCTACCTTTCTCCTACCTCTTCTTCTTCTCTCTAATCTTCCTTCTCTTGCCTCTAGTTCCGCCCCTTCTCTCTCGTGCCTCTTCCCCGGTCGCCTCCGGCGGGCTCTTCCAGACCCGCTCGGCTCTTTTCCTCCTTTCGCTTCTTTTAACTTGCTTCAACCCTCATTCCATCCTCTCCATCTCTCATTCTCCCCTCCTGTCCTCTGTCTCCCATCATTCGCCCTTTCTCCCTTCTTCTCGCACTGGCGTCCCCGTCTACGCCCCGCCATCGGCCGCCCGACTCTTCTCCTGTCTCCGTATTCTATCCAGCCGCCGAAGAACTCGCCCGTCTCTCTCCTCCGTCGCCTTCCTTGCTTCCTCATGAACTGTGTGCGTGCTCCTTGACCTCTGTGAATAGGAGCCTATAGGTCGGAGTGGGTAGGTATACGGTAGTAGAGGGGAGAGTAATGGATGAAGGGAATAAGCGAGAGAGGTGGAAAGAGGAAAAGCGAAAAAAAGGCAGCCGAAAGAAGAGGAAAACAAGACAGGAAGGTGGAACGACCGAGAACACGCAGAGAGTATTGGAGTGAGTGGTTGGGGGCATGTCGTTTAGGTAGCTAGAAGAATGTTTAGAGAGTATTTATAACAATGTGAATTAGACCCGCACGGAGGGAAGAGGAAGAGAAGGAGCATGTTAGGGAGAGGGGAGCGAGGAGGATGTAGAGGGAGGCAGCGTGAGGATGTAGAGGGAGGAGGAGGATGTCAGAGGAGGAGGTAAGAGGAGAAGGAGGGGATGCTAGAGGCAGAGGAGGTTGTAGAGGGAAGGGAATGTAGGAGGGGAGGGAGTGGGTAGGAGGAGGAGGAGAGGAGGGAGGGAGGAATGAAAAGTGGAGGGAGAAGGTGAGATGGAGGGTGGAGGAAGAGAAAAGTTGATGGAAAGAGGAGGAGGAAGCAGGCGGGAAGAGAAAAGCGTGAGGAGAGATGGAGAGAGGAGGGGAGGGGGTGAGAGGAAGGAAAGAGAAGACAAGGAAGGAGGAGAGAAAGGAGGGGCGAGTAGAAGAGGAGGAAGGAGCATTTAAAGATAATGAGGTATGATGAAAAGGCCATGATATTTGTATGAGGAGGAAGGAGGAGGAGGAAGGAGGGAGGGGAGGAGGAGGAGGAGGAGAGATACGTGGAGAGGGCGGCGAGACAAGGAGAACCGAGGAGAATGGAGGGGGGAGGGGGGAGAGCGGGGGAGTGAGAGAAAGGACAGAAGGCCAAGGTGGGAGAGACAGGGAGTGAGGAGGGGACGAAGAGAGATGGAGGGAGTGAAAAAGGTGGGGAGGTGGAGAGGAAAAGGAGTAAAGGAGAAAAGAGGATGGTGGTTAGAGGTAGGAGGCAGAGAGGAGGAAGAGGAGGTGGAGGAGGAGAAGGAGGAGAGAGAAGGGGGAGAGGAGAGGGGGATAATGTAGGAAGAGAGGAGGTAGGAGGATTTTTGTATGAGGAGTCAGAGGATGTAGATGAGGAGGAGGATGTAAGAGAGAGGAGGTAAAGAGGAGAAGGAGTTAGATGTAGAGGTGGAGGAGGATGTGCGAAGAATAGGATGAAGGAGGAGGTAGGAAGGATGATGGAGGAGGGGAGGACGGTGATTTTTTTTTTATTTTTTTTACAGGGGGAAGTGAATAGAGAGAGAAAGGTGAGGAGAAGGGGGAGGAGGGGAGGAGAGAAGCTGGGAGAAGAGGAGGAGAGAAGAGAAACAAAGGTGAGGAGAAGAGGAGGAGAGGAGAGGGGGAGGGAGGGGAATGAGAGCGAGAGTAAAGGAAAAGACAACGGAGAGGCAGAAGGAGGGGAGGAGCAAGGGAGGAGGAGGACGGGATGAAGATAATGAGGATGAAGTGAAAAAGGATGATGAGAGAGAGGAAGGGAGGGAGGAGGAGGACGGGAGGAGGACGGAGGAGGAGGAGAAGGAGGTCTGAGGGAGGCAGATGGGAAGAGGAAGGAGGAGGAGGAAGAGGGGAGG